CTTTAGTCAGGCAATTCAACTTTTTATGAATTTAATTATTAATATAAATATACATCATATATGTTTTTAGAGAACTCTGAAGGAAAATTATTAAATCATTTGAGGAAATAAATTAAATAAAAACAAAAGCAAAATAAGAGAAATAATAAATTTCTTAATTAAACTGAAAATTATATTATTATTCATCTATCAGTTTATAATTTTTTTATCGGAACCTCTGTTTTATCTTAATGTTAAACTATCTAATCAAATACATTTTTCTTTGATGGTATATGAGTGCAGATACCTTTTCCACAAAAAAATATTTCCCAAAACCCTTAAAACACTGTTAATCCATATTCAAACATGATTACCTTATCCATTCTATAAATACTTACCAAATATTTGAACCAGATGTAGAACCTGATATAGTAGGGCAATAAATTGGTTTGATTTTAAGAGATCTTTTACTTAATGTAAACCATCTTATATAACAGATTATGTCTTTCATCTAATAAGTTCGATGATAATAATCTCCCTCAATATCTACACTTATAATATTTATGTAAAAAGGTATAAGTGCTCCCATTATCAACATATTTCTAGCTAATCCTGTAATTCTTATAAAGAAACTAATTTTATCAACTCCCCAATTATTAAATAATATCGGTTACCAAACAAAATTATTTCTGTCACTTTAAGAATATTCATCATTTAATATCGAGAAAGTTTTATGAAAGATTGTATCAACATAAAATTTAGTTACAAAATACTTGTTTCGAAAATATTTGAATAAATTATTATTGAGAATTTGAATTAATTATTTTAGGTCTTATAAATATCTTATTAACAATAAATACATTATTTTAAAATAATTATGCAAAGATAATTTTAGGAATTTTTTTAGAAATTATTCACTATTAATTTCATGGGTGATATAACATAAAACTAATCTACACTTAGCTTTTTTTTTTAAGCAATAGCAAATAAAGATAATTTCAAAATAAATATAAAATGATAATTATTTCTTAAGTATTTGTGCTTCATCTAAGAAATTATTCATAATTATTTTGTTAATCTAATTGAAATTCTTATTAAGTTAATAATCTCATTATTTAATTCTACATTAGCCATAATAAAATTAACATTAGAAATTAGAAAAATCTGAATATGTACAATATTAAAATATAATTGTTAACTGATTTACATAAATCACCTGCTTATACGCATGTTTAGGAATAGGATTGTTTTGGATCAAAAATATCTTTTGATTTTGTTGCTAGTGAACAGCAGCTGCATAAACTGGCAAAATATTTTATTATCAATAATTGTATTACTTTGCTTTATATGACAATATTGTTTCTTAATACACATATTTATTAACATCAAAATAACATAAACTATTTAATCTACATTATGAAATAGTTGATAATAAACAAATACTGGAATCTATTGTGATTTATATTTAAATTGATTTATTTTAATTGCATTTTAAAGTATGTTAGTTTAATAAGAATCTTTATTGATTACTAAATTAAATTTAATTATGAAATTGAAATTGGCATTTATATTTGATAGAGTCATAAGCATATTATTAATTTACGTATTTGATAAAAATAATTTTCTTTAAATGTCTCCATTTATTATCCAAAAAATTAAAGTTCGTCTTAAACTTATATACCTTCATTTTACATATATTATTGACTTTTCACATTAATTACTAATTTTATTATTTAGACAATTTTGTATTTATAATTTTTTACCACAATCAATTTCAATAACCAAAAATTGAGATTCACAATTAATATAATCAATTAATATTGAAAAACCATTATTATTCCAATTCACTTATATATTCTTGTTAGACATACATCCTCAATTTTAGACTCCTAATCAAATAATTTATTTAGTAATATTTAACCAAATATTTTTTTTAATCATAATTACATTAAAAATTGGAAATCATTTAAACCTATTTTTAATATTATTAGATTAACATGATATATATTCAATTAATTTCTTAATACTAGAATTCTATTCATAAATACTATCCAAAAAATATTTAATAGTGTATATAATTAGTTTTCGTAGAGGGTCTTTGTTATTAAAAATTTTAATTATTCCATTATGTTTTAAGCCTAGAGTTTACTTTATAATTTACTCAATTATTCAATGAAAATAATTAGTAGTTCTGTTTCATCTTTTTCTCTCTCATTCAATTAGAATCTCAATCACTAATAAAGTCTAAAAAGAGTTGATTAAGAAATTTTGCAAATCAACATTGTTAGATGATAGTTGACGTTAGAAGTTTGAATCTATTGTATTATATACTTCAACTTAAAATCATTTCCAAAAGGATAATTGTATGAGATAATTCATAAAATTTCTTCGATGAAATATAAATGCTTTTAAAAATCGATTAACATTAATATTATTATTTTAATCCTTAACAAATAGTTCTTTTTCAAAATCAAATTTCTATTTTTGTTATTATGATTTATAATTTTAATAGTATAGATGATTCCAATATATCACAAACTAAAGGCACACCAAAATGAGTACTCAGAGAGTAAATATAATTATTTGAATTAAAAAATAATCTTAAAAGTATTTTAATATAAATTTGAAGTATTGTAATATAAAAAGCATTTTAATAGAAATAGAAAAAGATTTAATAAATATATTAATTATGAATTAAAATGATGATATAACTATCAAATGCCCAAATTCAGAGCATACTAACAATGTTAAATTAGTATGTTTTGATGAATCTTGTAAAGGAGAGAGATTATATTGCATTTAATGTATAAAAAATGGAATTCATGTTTCTCATCCTTAACATTAAGAAGAATTACCTAAATTATTTGAACATATTTAAAAAATTGATAAGGAATGTGAGGATTTAATTAATAAAATGACTAAATAAATGGATTTGCTATATCAAGACTTTTATTTATTAATTGGAGGAATAAGATCCAAATATCAAATATCTAAATAATAATTCTTGAACTTAAATTCTTAATAAATGAATTCTTACTTAAAGTAAAGTGTAAATTTCAGATCTTATGAATAAACAATCAATTACTAAGTATAATAATAAACAAATGAATTCTAATCTTAAATATAAAAGTTATTGTCTGAATTACAATTAACTCAATTAACTTATTATCAAATATCTAACTTAAATCTTATTAAATCAGAAGAATTATATTAAAAAGGTATTAAATTTATAATTTAGGATATAAACTATATTGGAATGATTAAAAATTTGATGAGGCTATTAAAATATTAGATTAAGCATTAAGTTTAAATTCAAAACATTAATCATCATTATGGTGTAAAGGTATGTTTATATTTTAATGTAATAGCTGACAGTTTAAGAATGCTTGGTTAATATAATGAAGCAATCATTTGGGCAGATAAAGCTTTGTAAGTAGATCCAAAGCATTGCAATTCATTAAATACTAAAGGTATGATTATATTTTAATGTAATAGCTGACAGTTTAAGAATGCTTGGTTAATATAATGAAGCAATCATTTGGGCAGATAAAGCTTTGTAAGTAGATCCAAAGCATTGCAATTCATTATTTACAAAAGGTATGTTTATATTTTAATGTAATAGCGAGTAGTTTAAGAATGCTTGGTTAATATAATGAAGCAATCATTTGGGCAGATAAAGCTTTGTAAGTAGATCCAAAGCATTGCAATTCATTAAATACTAAAGGTATGATTATATTTTAATGTAATAGCTGACAGTTTAAGAATGCTTGGTTAATATAATGAAGCAATCATTTGGGCAGATAAAGCTTTGTAAGTAGATCCAAAGCATTGCAATTCATTATTTACAAAAGGTATGTTTATATTTTAATGTAATAGCGAGTAGTTTAAGAATGCTTGGTTAATATAATGAAGCAATCATTTGGGCAGATAAAGCTTTGTAAGTAGATCCAAAGCATTGCAATTCATTAAATACTAAAGGTATGATTATATTTTAATGTAATAGCTGACAGTTTAAGAATGCTTGGTTAATATAATGAAGCAATCATTTGGGCAGATAAAGCTTTGTAAGTAGATCCAAAGCATTGCAATTCATTATTTACAAAAGGTATGTTTATATTTTAATGTAATAGCGAGTAGTTTAAGAATGCTTGGTTAATATAATGAAGCAATCATTTGGGCAGATAAAGCTTTGTAAGTAGATCCAAAGCATTGTTTATCATTAAATACTAAAGGTATGATTATATTTTAATGTAATAGCTGACAGTTTAAGAATGCTTGGTTAATATAATGAAGCAATCATTTGGGCAGATAAAGCTTTGTAAGTAGATCCAAAGCATTGCAATTCATTATTTACAAAAGGTATGTTTATATTTTAATGTAATAGCGAGTAGTTTAAGAATGCTTGGTTAATATAATGAAGCAATCATTTGGGCAGATAAAGCTTTGTAAGTAGATCCAAAGCATTGCAATTCATTAAATACTAAAGGTATGATTATATTTTAATGTAATAGCTGACAGTTTAAGAATGCTTGGTTAATATAATGAAGCAATCATTTGGGCAGATAAAGCTTTGTAAGTAGATCCAAAGGATTGTTTTTCATTATATACTAAAGGTACTCATCATGTTTTTTTATTTAAAGGTGATTCATTAAGATTATTGAAGAAGTATAAAGAATCTATGGAAGTGATTGATTTATCTTTATCAATCAACCAAAATCATTAAAATTCATTAGAATCAAAAGGTTGATGTATTTTATAATTGATAGGTCATTGTTTACAAGATTAGAATAAATATTAAGAAGCCTTAATATTTTATGAAAAAGCATTAAAAATTAATCCAAATAAGTAATGGACCAAAAATAGAAAAGGTATTATATATCTTAAATAATCAGATGAATGTTTAAAAGCTTTAAATCAAAAATGAGATTGAAATATATATATAAATCAAAATACAAAATCATTATTAAAATGTTAGTCTTAGTTTTCATTAGCTTATTCCTAATTTAAATAATAGATTTAAAATAAGTTTATTCTTATTAAGACTTTTAATATATAATTGAAACCAATTGATCTAAGTTAGAAATATATTTGTATTATAAAGTATAAATAATATAGATTATTGATAGTTAAAGCGATATTCAGTTTGAACATCAATAAAAAAGGATTACAAGCACTATATAAATTAACAAAATTTATAATGATGTTTATTATAAAATTACATATAAATATAAATAACTTTACATTTATTATCAATATTTTTGAATTAAGATATCTAAAGATCTTGAATTGATAAGACTTTCACTTTACCCTAATTTTACATATCCAATGAATTCTCAGATGTTATTCCTAGTGCAGAAAAGGAAACACATGTAAAATAGATAATTTGAAACGTAAATACATGGACTTTTCTGGATTTCTTGCTTTTTAGGACAAAGTGAAACAATTAATTAATCTAATGTGTTCAAAATATCAAAAGGGAATTTATTGTTATTTCTGAAAAAAGTATTTAACGTGTTATTAGTATTGTATATTAGCCCTAGTTATTTATATAGTAAAATCCATTAATAGTCTAAAGAAAAATTGCGATATCTACTAGACTAGCTTAAACACAAAAATTCTAATGAATTGTCATGAGTTATTTATTTAGAATGCATAATTTGACATTTTGTAGATAGACTGCTTGTTTTGGTAAATTTGATGACTAAAATATTAATCTTAAATTCTGATTTAATTGGGCAATTTCCTTATATTAAGAATAAGTAATTTATTAAAAGATCAAAGAAATATAAACCATGAAAAAATTATTAAGAAGCTATCAGTGATTGATACAATCAAAAAGCATTTAATGCAAATCAAAATTGTTTATAGTATAGAGAAATAGACTGGTATTGAAAGGTTATGAATTGATTAGATCCAATACAATATCTTTTATCCAAATACAAAAATGATAATGGAAATTTTGGAAGTCATAAATAGCTGTTGTGACACTTCAAATTCACATAAGTAAATTATGTTTCACAACTGTTGCAGAGATTAAAGATGAAATATTAATTTAGATCAACTATTCCATACCTTTTTTCTACATAACCTCATCAATAACTTGCATTAATTCTATTATCTCTCCTATCTTGATTATACACTTATAATTCTATTGATATTAAAGATAATTTCAAGACATTTCAAAATAAAATTTAAATTGAAATAGTATTTAATTATAAGCTACACAGATTGTTTCAATAAATCATGTTTGAAACTTTGGTTTGTTTTTTATTATACTTTTCTTGAGAGAATACAAACATAAGGTTTCAAAGGTTAGGATCAGCTAAATAAAATAAATTAATGAAGCAATTTTTTTTGGAAGATATAAATTATAATTTAATTTGGATTTCTATCTGAACTTAATATTTTCTTTTCATTAGAGATGATTGCAATATTATTTCAACCAAGTTTTAATTATTACTTTTATTTCTTGATAGATGAAAACTTATAAATGCCTTGGATTTACACTTAATATTTAGCATCAAAACAGTATATTAAAAAACAAAACGAAATAATTAATATTTAATCTATTAATTTATTTCAATCCTTTTTTTTTAAGTTAAGTTAATTGCATTTTTTTGAAATTTCCTTCTTTCAACGTTTTTTAAGAATATTATTCCCAAACGATGATAGATAAATCTTAGGAATATGTTCAGAATTTTAAGTTTCAATTAGAGTTCAAAAAATAAAGTTAAAGCTAAGGGAAAATGGAAAGAGAAAAGAAAACTCAAGCATAAAAATCTATTTTATGGAAAATCGAGATTAATTAGAAAGAGAAGGAGTGGACCAATTAATTATAATTATCTTAAATATTGTGCTTATGATATTATAGCAAGGATTTTCAAATAAAATTGAATTATTATTTAGGAAGTAATAATTTGGAGAAAATGATATTTCTTATGATGTTAAATATCTATATTTGTGATTTCAAAATCAAATTTAAATTTGAAACTAAATTCATATGCTTCTAAAATATATCAACATTTGTGAAGGTTGATTAAGTGATTAAAATAATAAGAAAGATGGCATATAAAGATTGAATTAGGTTTTCTAAATTACAGATTATACAAAGGTTGATAGATAATTATAACACTGTAAATATGAAGAGGCGTAAGATATATAAAAATAGATAGGGGTTTGAATAGAAGATTAACTTTATGGATACAAAATGCTGATTTGGAGTATTTTTTGCATTGTTCGAATATAACAATCATGACATTAAAATAGCAAAAAAATTTTAATAATTTTTAATCTAGAATTTGAAAATAATAAAAAGAATGGACGTAATTAACCTATATTAAGAGAGTCCAATTTTAAATTTTTTTGAAAATGAATAATATATTAACCCTGAAAAAATATGAATAGTTAATAAAAAAAAAGGTTAAACGAAGATTTAGTAAATAAATCTATTGTACATATAGTATCAAGAGTATGTATGGAATCAAATACTTGATTTGATTTGAAGTGTGTCTTTCTAATGCCCGAGGTACATCATCATTGATAAAGCAACAAAATTTATTACATTTTGTAATGAACGTTCTCAAAAAGAAATTCCAACAACAACGAGTTCATACATACTAGTAAAGGGTTCATGGACTAACATAGGTCAGAGTTCACTCTTCATAATTTGATTCATCTATCTTAAAGTCTCTACAAACTTCATAGTAGTTTCTAGTAATCAAGGGCATAATCATATTTAAAAAAAAGGTATATGACTCCTTCAAGCTGTTCAAAAAGTTGAGCATATCTACTCTTTCAAGATCAATTTCAACTTCTAGTCTGAACTATAAGTTTTCATTCTTTAACCCTTTCTTCAGTTTACTACTGATTACTCGCTTCAATTATTTTTACTTAAAAAATTTAGCTCTATTTTTCTTTAATTTAAATAGTTTTTAATAATTCTAAACATCTTGTATTTTATACAGAAATCCATACAGTTTTTGGTTTTTGAATATTTTACAGAACAAAAAGAAAGAAAAGAAGCGCCGTATCAAGAAAGTTAATTGTTTTAAATCCTATCCAAAAGTTGCATAAATAAATGAAAAAAATAATTATAAAATCAAAATGAAAAATAATCGTTAATTTGACGATTTATAATTTAAATTACATCGATTTTAGTAAAATAGGTTAAGAAAAGACTTTTTTTGCTGCAAATATTTTTTGTTTAACTTCATACCTTCATCAAGATAAATATGAGTAAATAAATAAAACTAGTTAAGAAAGTTATTTCTGCTGGTAAAATAAAATTATATATATATTTAAATTAATTATCATCAAAAAGATTAATATCAGATAAAAAATAAATCGGTGTAGTAGAAAAATTTTCAGTTATTTATTGTGATTAAATTGATAAAGTTATTTAATCTTATAATTTAATAATCTAAAACTTTTATAATATACATTTAATGAAAAGTAAAGGACAAATGCATTTTGCAATAAGAAAATTAAATTCAAAAATAAATAAAACGTGTTTCAGACTCTGATCTCAAGGGTGATTTAAGTGACCTACATTGGTTGTCGCCAAGATAGTCAGGGAAAGGAGGCCTGAAGGTAAAAGACTTAATAGCATTCCTATGCTCAATTTATACTTCGATAGCCTTTACCCCGACAGGACGACAGTGAACAATAGGCAAAGGTATTATTATAATACGAACTAACACTTGAGGCTAAAGGTAGTAAGGGACTGAGAGAGCTGGTATGATTTGCGCTCATGAATATCTGTGGGGATATATTAACAAAAAGGTAATTGAACTAACCACAGAAAAAAATTGATCTGATTGAGTATTACTATAAATATTTAAAGACATCAAATATTATTCAAGATTTAACCTGAGCCACAGGTTGAAAATGATAAAGATTTAGTTCCAAGATGTAGGCACTATTCAAAGTTTAACAAAAAAAACCTTAGACTAAAATAAATTGCTTGTTTTTATTTAGTAAGTAAAATTTATATGCACATAATAACATAATTTTTGACCTTATGCTTTCTATTTAAACTATATCCATTTTTCACTTCTCTTAAAACTTATAAGGAATGACTAACAACTGTTCTTAACTGTTACTCATTATCGAAAAACTGATTATNTTTAATTTAAATAGTTTTTAATAATTCTAAACATCTTGTATTTTATACAGAAATCCATACAGTTTTTGGTTTTTGAATATTTTACAGAACAAAAAGAAAGAAAAGAAGCGCCGTATCAAGAAAGTTAATTGTTTTAAATCCTATCCAAAAGTTGCATAAATAAATGAAAAAAATAATTATAAAATCAAAATGAAAAATAATCGTTAATTTGACGATTTATAATTTAAATTACATCGATTTTAGTAAAATAGGTTAAGAAAAGACTTTTTTTGCTGCAAATATTTTTTGTTTAACTTCATACCTTCATCAAGATAAATATGAGTAAATAAATAAAACTAGTTAAGAAAGTTATTTCTGCTGGTAAAATAAAATTATATATATATTTAAATTAATTATCATCAAAAAGATTAATATCAGATAAAAAATAAATCGGTGTAGTAGAAAAATTTTCAGTTATTTATTGTGATTAAATTGATAAAGTTATTTAATCTTATAATTTAATAATCTAAAACTTTTATAATATACATTTAATGAAAAGTAAAGGACAAATGCATTTTGCAATAAGAAAATTAAATTCAAAAATAAATAAAACGTGTTTCAGACTCTGATCTCAAGGGTGATTTAAGTGACCTACATTGGTTGTCGCCAAGATAGTCAGGGAAAGGAGGCCTGAAGGTAAAAGACTTAATAGCATTCCTATGCTCAATTTATACTTCGATAGCCTTTACCCCGACAGGACGACAGTGAACAATAGGCAAAGGTATTATTATAATACGAACTAACACTTGAGGCTAAAGGTAGTAAGGGACTGAGAGAGCTGGTATGATTTGCGCTCATGAATATCTGTGGGGATATATTAACAAAAAGGTAATTGAACTAACCACAGAAAAAAATTGATCTGATTGAGTATTACTATAAATATTTAAAGACATCAAATATTATTCAAGATTTAACCTGAGCCACAGGTTGAAAATGATAAAGATTTAGTTCCAAGATGTAGGCACTATTCAAAGTTTAACAAAAAAAACCTTAGACTAAAATAAATTGCTTGTTTTTATTTAGTAAGTAAAATTTATATGCACATAATAACATAATTTTTGACCTTATGCTTTCTATTTAAACTATATCCATTTTTCACTTCTCTTAAAACTTATAAGGAATGACTAACAACTGTTCTTAACTGTTACTCATTATCGAAAAACTGATTATTCCCTCTTATCAGATTGCAATTTTCAAGAATACCGCTAATAAAGTTCCATCAAATATTTATTCAGAAGCATTTTACATTTTACTATTTTATAACAGTAAGGTTGTTATAATAAATTATGGGATATAATTTATTATAACAACTAAAACTTTTAGAACTAAAAAAAAACAACTTGAGTTAAATAGTAAATCTAAACTTATGAAGATAAACAAATGAATAAATAGTAGAGAACTTATATAATTATATGGATATAAATCAGGTTAATTTACCTTGTAAAATAAGATTAGTATATAATTTTTTTTTGTAAAAATTAAGTTAATTTATGAAATATTCAGAATATAAAATTTAGGCATAACATGTATCCAAAATAAAAGGGTCTTTGTAAACTATTTTCTACATTTAATAACAAACTCTAATATTTGATACTATTAGATTATTTGGTTTTTCTTTGAAGTAATTTCAATTTCTATTTTTATTTTTATTATTTTGCCTAATTTTTTTTACGGCATGCATCTCCTGGCCTCATTCACTTTTATAAAATGATATTTGAGAGAATTGCTTGTTTAGAATGCAAAAAGAGTTATTAAAGAATTAAAATTTAATAGGAATTGAGATGAAGATATGACTGGAAAAAAAAAGTTAAAATTAAAAAGATTCGGATGATATCAGAGCTCTTTCATTGAAAGTTCAACCATGTAATAAATTATTGCCAATCGTTTCTCTGAAAAGAAGTCTTAGAAGTACAAAGTAATTAGAGATTGTTCTAAGTCAATAAGAAATAAATTTAAATGAAGTACTTTGAATGAAAGGTGATTGTAGAGCATTTTTGGTTCGCATATACAGTAAATAAATGTATAAGTAAGAATATGAAGGTTTAATCATCAAAATTGAAGTTAAATAAAATTCATAACTAGAAACATCGATTGTCTTATGGGATAATTTAAAATTGTATTCTGCAAGATTAAGGCTTTTCTTTGTTCAAAATAAAGGCTTTATTTATTTTAAGA